CATTCTCTTCCAGCAGCTATGTTTCTTCCAGAACTGGCCAAATAGATCCATCCTACCCCTGGGAACTGGGAGACAGGCTCCAGACTGAATGCCCCCTGATCTTAGCATTCCTTCACATGCCATCCCATGGTCTCACATTTGGCAAGTCCAAATCTGAAGGCTTCATCATCAACTCAAACTTTCATCCTTCCCTGTGTGTCAGTCAACTGGCAGTATCACCAGGGTGCACCTCCATCCCAGTCACTCAAGCCTGAATATTCCTCAAACCCCTCCCACCTCTCCCCAAGGTTGGGCCACCACCACCTATGTCCAGGACAACTTAGAGCCTCCTAAGGGGTCTTGCCTTCAATTCTCCTCACCTCCATCATCTTTTTTTTTTGGCTGCATTGGGTCTTCGTTGCTGTGCATGGGCTTTCTCTAGTTGCAGCGAGTGGGGCTACTCTTTGTTGTGGTGGCTTCTTTTATTGTGGAGCACAGGCTCTAGGTGCACGGGCTTCAGTAGTTGCAGCACACGGGCTCAATAGTTGTGGCATGGGGCTCTAGGGCACACAGGCTTCAGTAGTTGTGGATTGCAGGCTCTAGAGCGCAGGCTCAGTAGCTGTGGCACATGAGTTGAGTTGCTCCGCAGCATGTGGGATCTTCCTGCACCAGGGATCGAACCTATGTCCCTTGCATTGTCAGGTGGATTCTTAACCACTGCACCACCAGGGAAATCCCCATCATCTCTTTTAAATAACCTCTGCAGCACTCACCTGCCAGAAATATTGTTCTACAAAGTGAATACAATCACGCCCTTCCACTTCAGCTGTTCCCCACTTGCTCCTGATGTGAAAAAGATTAACAAGCCCCTGCTTTCCCACCCTCACCCGAAGCACCTGCACCTCCCAAACCAGCCAGACGCTGGATTGCTTGTTGCTGTCAGGCCCTTTGCACAAGCTGCCCGTTCAACGTAGTACAGGTTCTCGAACCTCTCCTCCATTGCTCTTTGCTCTACTATCAGTTGTTCATTTAACAAATATTTACTGAGCATTTACTGCTATGCCAGGCTTTGTGCTAAATGCTGAGATTTTGTATGCAATAAGCCCCCTGGCCATATGAGGCTTACATTTTAGGGCTGTCGACTGAAAGAAAAATTCAAAACCTACAAGTTGTGAGTTAAGTTTTATCCAGGTACCTTACTGAGGACTATAGCCCTGGAGACAGCCTCTGAGATAGCTTTGAGGACCTGCTCTGAAGAGTTAAGGGAGGAGCCAGGATATATGTAAGTTTGCGTGGGGGGGGGGGTTTGGGGGGGGAGATCCATGTAATCAAAGACCAAGATTACTGATCACAAAAAACAGATATTTCAAGTTAATGACTTAAGTGCTTTCCTATGTATGGGAATATGCAAGAATCTGGGTTCATCGAAACTTTTCCTTAGATATGCATCTTAACTATCCAAGGATCCTTACATCCAAAGCACAAAATGTTTCCTGTTTTTCTCCATCCTGAGCTCCCCTCAGGCACACTGAGGCCAACGACTGCAGTTGCTACAGCCTTGATCCCTATAGAAATGGAATGGCAGGCAACACTTTTTTCCTTTACAGGAGTTACACCTCCACTGGCACAAGGAATAAGACACCTTCCTGCGCCTTCCAGGCACTTCCAATGCAAAGACCTCTACAGCCATCACTAGATTCATCCCCTTTCTCACTGACCCTTTCCCCAATAGTACACAAGAAGGCCTTAACTGGTCAAGGCACCGTGGTGGCCACACCCAGGCCACACTGCCCTGGCTCACTCTGCGGTCCCGAATTGGAGTTCTAAGGCTGCCCCCCCCCACAGTGAGTGGGGTCGTCCCAGGAGTTCCCCCATCCCTTCTGCCTTAATGGTACGCCCCATGCGCGTGCTCCCGGGCGGCGGAAGTGAGCCGCGGGAGGCGGGAGCCGCTGCTCCCGGTAACGGAAGTGCGGCGGAGTTGGGTTGAGCGGACTTTTTGGAAACTTGTGGAGGAGGTGAGGCTGAGATGACCATCCGGAGGGGCTTCGCGCGTTGCAGGGGCGGTGGGACTCAGCCCCAGGGAGGTAGCGGGTCTGGGAGGACAGGAGGACCCCACTTCCATTGTGACTTTCTGGCGTTTTCCTTGGCTTGGAAGGGGTGCCGCGCTGTCTCCCTCCGCGTCGGTTGGCTCTTCCTGCTTCCCGGGCGTGCTACACCCTCGGCCCTCTTGTTAAATTTTTGCTCTCCACCAGCGCTTAGCTCCTACGTCTGAGAAATTTCTCTAAACCTATTTCGCCTTTGTAGCTCGGTCACAGCGCACATCACCAGCTGCCTCATTTTATAGTTTCCCTATTTGTGTTTACTTCTTGCTGTCTGAGGAGCCCCGGCGCAAGACCCGCGGCGTTTCACTTCTGTGGTGCGTCACTAACCTCAGGGCCTCTTGACAAAGAATCTGCAGCCACTTATCTGTTACTCACCTCTGGTTTTAGGAAGAATTTAGCAAATGTACCTGCTGAAATAGAAAGAGTTCAGCATCTTCCCTTTAGGGCTGGACGTCTCTTAGTCGGTGTACCTTGTTTTCATCGTCTACTGCCACCCAGCCCCTAACAGAGGGTAGCAGGTAAAAGCATGGGATTTGGGGTCCGGAGCTGGACAGACTCGGATTTCAGTTCTGCTTCTACCCTTACTAGCCTTCTAACTTTGGGGATTTGGGGAAATTCCTTAATCTCTCTGAATCTTAAAAGATCTTTATCTAAATTGGGAGTAATAACATAGACCTCATAGGGTTGGTGTGAGGATCAAATTAATGAGTGTAAAGTGCTGGGCCCAGGGTCTTGTCCATTGTAGGGATTCAGTCATTCATTTGTTCAGCAGATATTTATTGGGCACCTTTTATGAGCTAGATACTGTGCTAAGTACTGGAGGTTCAGTGATAAACAAAACCAGACAGGTCTCCCTGCACTCCTGGAGTTTGAAGTGGAGTGGGAGGTGTAGTTCTTAAGCTAATAATTACAAATGTAATGTTAAAAGTGTGGTGATGGTGAGAGAGATTACAGTTGCCTTGAAAGAATGTAATAGGGGAGTGTTTAGACTGAGCTTCTAAGGAAGTGTGGATTGAGCTGAAGAATTTGTAGGAATTAACAATAAAAGATTGGCAAGCAGCAGATGAAAGGAGGGGTATTTGTATAAGTTCCAGACAGAAAATCATGTGTAAGGGTCTGTGGCGAGAGGAACTTGGGGGTTTGAAGGACTGAAAACAGTTCAGTGTGCCTGGAGTGAGGAAGGGGAGTTAGCATGGACCAGACCTTTTTATCCTGAATTCAGGATTTTGGACTGATACGAGAGTAATGGAAAGCCACTGAAGAGTTTTAAGTTGAGGATGGAGATTGAGGGAGGATAAGTCACATAATCTGGTTTGTGTTTCAAAAACATTATTTTAGCTGCTGTGTGGGGGACAAGTTAGGAAACTATGCAGTAGTTCAGGTGAGAGATGATGGTGGCTTTGGAGTAATGTGGAGGTCGTGGATCTCAGAAGTAGACTTGAGAGATGTTTTAGGGGGGTAACATCATCAGGACTTGGTAATGGATGTGGAGGATGAAGGGGAAGTGGTTAAGAATGTTGTCCAGGTTTTTGGTTTCAGCAGCTGGGTGGATGATGGTACAATTTATGGAGATTGGAAACATGAAGAAATGCAGGAGGAGGAGCAGGTCTTCTTTCCATCAGTGTGCATTTCCCCCTTCCCATAATACTCCCATAGCTACACACTAACTCCTGTCTGTCTAATGTGCATCCATTTCACCCTTTCCTTTCTACTCCCCAGAGTAACCACCCTAAGACAGGCCTTTGTCACTACCACTAAAATAGCCCCCAGTAGCCTCTTAGCCTCTGTTCCTCCTTACTCCGTCCCTACTTTAATCTGCACATTGATGCCAGATTCAGTTTCCTCAAACACTGTTTCAATCTTTTTTTTTTTTTTTTTTTTTTGCGGTATGTGGGCCTCTCACTGTTGTGGCCTCTCCCATTGTGGAGCACAGGCTCCGGACGAGCAGGCTCAACGGCCATGGCTCACGGGCCCAGCCGCTCCACGGCATGTGGGATCTTCCCAGACCGGGGCACGAACCCGTATCCCCTGCATCGGCAGGCGGACTCTCAACCACTGCGCCACCAGGGAAGCCCCACTGTTTCAATCTTGTCAGATTATCTTTCACTCCAGAAATTTTTGTTGCCATCTATTATTTACAGAATAAAATCTGAATTCCTTAACCTGGCTTTTAAGAGTTTGCGCAGTTTAGTCCCACCCTTTCTAGCTTTCCTACTCACTACTCCCCTACTTGAACCCTCTACTACTCATTTTCCCCCCCAAAATTTTTCAGATTCTCTTATGAATGCCTTTGTTCATGATACTCTTCCCAATAATGTACACCATGTGGTTATCTTGACTGTCTAAATTTAATCTTTAAGTTCCAGTTTAAGCTTTCCTCTGCTGGGAAGGCTTCTTGATGTTTGAGCACACATTTATTTCTTAGCCTTGTTAACTTCTCATTTGTTTTTACACCATTTAATTGGTATAAATGCATTTACAGTGCTGTTGATTTATTCATTTATCAAGTGTTACTTTATTATATGTTATAATATTCTTGTGTATGTGTCAATAATAATTTATTATATATTTGCTATGCTGTTAAATGATAGCTTTGTTCTGGGCAGCATACTGGGTAGATGCTTAAAAAAATGATAAAAATGTGACTTGGAATTAGGAAACCACTTGATTAGAGTACAGCTTTCTAATAAGGAAATTGCAGGGAATTCTCAAGATTATTTTGGTTTGGATAAGAATCACCTACTCATACTAGTTGGTAATCCTTAGCCTGTTGAGTACCCACTGTGTACGTAGTCTGTAATATGTATGAAATACTCAGTTAACAGGTAGAGAAGGGAAAAAAAAATCAAACTTGTTTACTTCTGGAAGTTTCATCCAGCTCTGACATTTTCCCTTTCCAGTTCCTTGATGTGTGCAACAATGGACCAGAAAATTTTATCTCTAGCAGCAGAAAAAACAGCAGACAGACTGCAAAAATTTCTTCAAACCCTGAAAGATGATGATGTGAGTATTAGGAAGGATGTTCTGCCAAAAGCAAATGTCAAGCATGATAACAAATTCAAGGGACATGTTAGAAAAATTAATTCTGCCGCTTCATCTATCCCCCACTCTCCTTAGGAGACAAGGATTTATTTGATAACAACTCATAGATACAAAGAAATGGGAGAGAGGAAGAGATATGGACAACTTAAGGGCATTTGTGTACATTTATACAACTGTATTTGTTTGTTTGTTTGTTTATTGATTGATTGCTGCAACGTGCAGCATGTGGGATCTTAGTTCCCTTACCAGGGATCGAACGGATGTCCCCTGAAGTGGAAGCATGAAGTCTTAACTGCTGGACCACCAGGGAAATCCCTACAACTGTATAATATTTAAATGACATTTATGCAACCGTATAAAGCAAATTAGTACACTTTTTAGTTCTTAGAACAATCTTATTTGAAAGCAGTATCCAGACTGTGGTTATTGATGTGAGACATTAGATTTGCCTGTTGATGCTTCATTTATGTTTTTCCCTAAAGAAAATAAGTTCATAAGTAGTAAGATATTTTGAAATTATTAGTAAAAGCGAAAACCAACCAATTTACATTGTGTCTTCACTATAAGTATATGATTATAAAATGGGACAATAATTACCTTCTGTGTTAGGCTTTCTAATCTTTCTCTCCTGATATACTTCTCCTTATTCCATTATAAATGATCTCAGCTTATTCAGATCCCTACATGGAAAATAATCCCTCCTTAGAATTAACCTTAAACATTAGTATATATGTATAGACAAATTAAGACTTTGAGTATTATTATTTTTTTTTAATTTCTTTGATGTTATATCTATTTATTTTTGGCTGCATTGGGTCTTCGTTGCTGTGCGTGGGCTTTCTCTAGCTGCGGTGAGCAGGGGCTACTCTTTTTTGTTTTGTTTTTTTGCGGTACGCGGGCCTCCCACTGTTGTGGCCTCTTCCATTGCGGAGCACAGGCTCCGGACGCACAGGCCCAGCGGCCATGACTTACGGGCCTAGCTGCTCCGTGGCACGTGGGATCTTCCCGGACCGGAGCTCAAACCTGTGTCCCCTGCGTCGGCAGGCGGACTCTCAACCACTGTGCCACCAGGGAAGCCCCGAGTGTTACATTTTTAAGGAACTTTTTATGTGCTAGTTTTTGTCGTCATTGAAGCTAGGTGCATCTTAATCTTTGTTATCTTATGCTAACTGGGAATTGATACAAGGATGTGCTCTGATTTTTTTTTCTTTGAAATTATCCAGTAATTGCTTTTTGTGGCACTTTTTAAGGCATCCTTTGCATGAGTTGAGAGTTGAATCATCCTATAGACAACTTAAAATTTGGTTGAAACCTGCTTTCTATTTATCTATTTACTTAGAATTTTTATCTTACCTGCTTCCAAAAGGAATTTGAGGAGGCTTTAACATTACACTATAAAATAAGTAAAAAATAAGAACTAGAACAAAACCCATGATAGATGCTATGAATTACTTCTCTGATTCATGCTTATCACAAAAAGAATTCCTATCTTGGTTTTTGAAATGAGATACTGTATGCACCTAACATCTAATAGACCCTCAATAGGCATCCAGTAGACGCTGAATAAATATTAGAAAAGGTCCTTCAGCTCTTCCTATTTTGTTTCTTCGCCAACATGAACACAGTCCTCTGAACATTTCTGTTTTGTTAATATTACCTTTAAAAGTTTTGTACCTCAAATTGAACACAGGGCTCCACATGTGTTCTACCACTAGAGTAGAGGGGCACTAATATTTCCCTAATTCTTCCATTAATGCAGAGTCAACTTTTTGGCAGCAGTATGATATTATTGTCTCATTGCTCTTACAAGCAACTAAAAACCCCAAGTCATTTTTGCATATAGGCTAAATTTCCTTCATCTCCGAACTTCAATAGTTAGTTCTTAGAACCCACATTAAAATTTTGTTAAATCTGTTACTTATCTTTTTAGATTAATTTGATTTCACTCCATCAAGATCTTCTTGTATCCTGATTCTGTTGACCATTGTATTAATCATCATTTTATATCCTCTATAAATTTGATAAGCATTCCAGCAATATATGCATTCAGTCCATTTGATAAAAATGTCCATAGAAGATGTGCTTAAGAGTAAAAAATTATAAAACACATAAGCAAGTCCATGACAAGGAAGACTGACATATCTAGCAGTGGGAAAATTTACATTCAAAGATTTAGAGAGAATAGAGGAATCTAAAAGGGACTGCTAGAATAAAAGTAGAAGTTAATAAAGTGGAGAACAGTAGATCAAATTAATACATAAAAATCCTGGTTCTTTGAAAAATAGACAGAACTATTAACTAATCAAGAAAACAATGGAGTAAGCACAGATATACTAAATAAGAAATGACAAGGGGGAAATAACTTCATATAGCGAAAAATCTCAGAAAATACTAAGAGACTACTCTGTATATATCTAGTACAAATAAATTTGAAAATGTAGATGCAATGGATAATTTCTTAGGAACATACAGTTTAATTAAATTGACCCAATTTGAGATGGAAAGCTTAACCAGATCAATTTCTATAAAAGAATAAAAGAGTTATCAAGCAATTACTTGACACAAAAATACCAGGCCCAGAAGTTTCATAGGAAACGTCTACCAAATCTTTAGAGATCAGAGGTAAGAGATAGTCCCGATGCCACATAAATTGTTTTAGAGCATATATAATACATAAGGAAAAATGTGCATATATAAGGAAAACTTCCAAATGCTTTTTATAAAGTATAACATTGATACCCCAAACCTGATAAAGACAGCTTGAAGGGGCTTCCGTTGGTCAAATTTGAACATTGAAATAATCAAGTTCAGTTATGAATTATAAACCACTGAAAAATATAGAAATTTGTGAGTCCATATTGATAATAAATGATGAGGAGGGCTCTTGCTTACCACAGAGTTAGAAAATCATCATTTGGCAACCATCATGATAAAGATTGGATCAGGCAGGAAGCATCAGTGGATGCTAAATCCAGGAAGAATTTTTTAACTCTTCATTTTGAATTGATTTTAGACTTACAGAAAAGTTGTAAAAATAATAGAGTTTCCATCTATCCCTCTCTGTTGGTGTCTCTTTTTTCTTTACATTTTCTCCCTGGATGATCTTACATGTTCTCACTGAGCTCCACTTTGGCATATTCAGTTATCGATTTGACATCTCCACTTGGATATCTTAAGAGTAACAGTTCTGAGCGCCACATCAGATCTGCTGAATCAAAAACTGCAGGTGGAGTTCTCTGTTTTAACAAGCCCCTGGATGATTTAGATGCTTGCTTAATCCGAAATTTTCACCATGTCTGTAAATGGTGCCACCATCTACCCAGTTAGTTGCTTAAGCAAGAAATTTGAGTCCTCCTTGATTTCTTCTTTTCCTTCATCACCACACCCATTTCACGTCTAAAGCATGAGGAAGTCTGTCTTAGTCCATTCAGGCTGCTATAACAAAATACTGTAGACTGGGTGACTTAATAACAGCAAATATTTATTTCTCATAGTTCTGGAGACTGGAAATCCTAGGTGATGGTGCCAGTGTGGTCAAGTGAGGGCCCTCTTCTGGGTTGCAGACTTCACATTATACCCTCAAATGGTAGAAGCAGCCTGGGGGCTTTGTGGGATCTCTTATAAGAGCACTAATCCCATTCATGGGAGTTCCACCCTCATACCTAATCACCTCCCAAAGGCCCCACCTCCAAATACCGTAACATTGGGTATTAGGATTCTTAACACGTGAATTTTGGGGAGACATAAACATTCAGACCATAGCGAAGTCCTACTGATCAAGCTCTCAAATATATCTTCAGTCTATGGATCTTCCCCAAATTTTGATGGGGTTACATCCCAATAAACCCATTTTAGGTTGAAAATATTCTAAGTCGGAAATGCATTTAATACACCTGACCTACCAAACATCCTAGCTTAGCCTAGTTACCTTAAACATGCCAAGAATGCTTACATTAGCCTACAGTTGGGCAAAATCATCTAACACAAAGCCCATTTTACAATAAAGTGTTGAATATCGTATGTAATTTATTGAATACTGTACTGAAAGTGAAAAACAGAATGGTTGCGTGGGTACAGAATGGTGTATCGGTTGTTTATCCTTGTGATCCTGCAACTGATTGCTAGCCCAGGAAAAGATAAAAATTCGAAATACAGTATCTACTGAATGCCTATCACTTTTGCCCCATTGTAAAGTTGAAAAATTGTAAGTTGAACTGTTACAAGCTCGGGGCCATCTGTACTTTTCTTCATCTTACAAAGTACTACAAACTGAGTACCTTAAACAATAGACAGTTATTTTTAAAGTTCTAGGAACTAGAAGTCCAGGATCACGGTGTTGGCATTGTTGGTTCC